CATGCTCAGTCACTCTACACACACACAAAAACACAACTAACATATATAGTATATATATATATATATACATATATACTATACATATATATATATATATATATATTTATATATATAATATAATATATATAAATATATATATATAAACATATATATAATATATATATATATAAACACACACACCAGGATAAATAAATGTATATGATAATGTAATGTATGTTTCTATTTCAATTATTAATCTATCCTATCTATTATCTTTCTGTCTGTCTGTCTGTCAAGTATCTGTCTTGATTATGTCTTGTCTGTACGTCTGTCTGTACTGTATCCTGCCTGCCTGCACTGCCTGCCTGCCAGTTATACTTCCTGTATTACCCCCAGTCTTGTCTACTCTCTCTCACTAGTATTACTCTATATCTTACTCTATCTCTATATCATATTACTCTCATACTCTCTCCTCTCGTTACTCTTAATTTACTATCTCTCTCTCTCTTATTATATATTTAATATTATATATTTATATTTATTATTCATATTTTTATTTTATTATTATACATATAATAGATAGATAAGCTAAGAAGTAGATGAGAGGATAAGATGAGAGTAATAAGAGAGAGTAGAATGAGTAAGAGTAGTAAGAGGATGATGAGATGATGAGAGATGAGAGAGAAGAGAGAGAGAGAGAGAGCAAGAGAGATAGATAGATGAAGTAGAGAGAGAAGAGAGAGACGATATGAGGGAGAAGAGCTGAGAGAAGATATATGCTGATAGCAGAGAGAGTAATATATAGACGAGAAATAAAGAGTAGGAGAGAGAGAGAGAGTAGAATAGATAGATGAGAGTAAGAGATGAAGATGAGAGAGAGAGAGATAGATAGAATAATGAATAGTAGATAAGAGATAGAAGATGATAAGAGATAGAGATGAATGCAATATAGAGATGAGCGAGAGAGGATGTATGAGAGATGAAGATGACCATATAGAGGAGAATGAAGAGAGATAATGAGAGAGAGAATGGATAGAGAGAACGATATATAGTGAAAAGAAGATGAGAGAGAGAGAGAGAGAGAGGAGAAGAGAAGAGAGGAGAGAGAGAGAGGAGAGAAAGAGAAGAGATAAGAGATATATAAGAGTAAAGAGAGAGAGAGAGAAGAGAGATGATGAATAGTAATATATATAGTAAGTAATATGAATAGATGAGTAAGAGAGAGAGATGAGAGAGAGCGAACAGAGATGAAGAGGCGCAGAAGAGATAAGAGAATATAGCTAGACGAGAGAGATGAGATGAAACATTAATGAAATTGAATACTGAATGTAAGGTAAGAAAAGAAGAAGAGAAAAGACAGATGGTAATGATGGCGAGAGATAGATAGAGAATGCAGAGAGGCGGCATGTATAAATTATCATAAAGCAAAGATTTGACTTAGAATGGCGAGTACAATATGTTATGCAAGTGACACATAATACTCACGTAGGCCGAAAGAAACGAATAAAAAAAAAAACTTGAGGAAAATAATATACAAAACACATTACTCACAAATAGATCCGACTGTATCAAATCAGGAGATGAAGATAAGTAAGAGACACGAAAGTAACATAACACAATATTTTTGTCTAAATAACAAATAGAATCACTCTATATTTTAAAATTTGAGTTACACTTGTAGATATAGCGCAGGAATTGCAGGAAGTGTCGAGCACGAAGAGAGTAGCTAGAACAGAGTTTAAGGAGAAGAGAGAGTGGAGGGATGGACGATGACTGAAGCAGGAGAAACGACGAGAGATGATGGCAGAGTTATGGATTCTGTCTCGTCTGGGTGTTGCGCCTGGCTGACCTGTCGTATCTATTAACATCTGTCTAACTTCTGGTCGTCTGTCTTCCAGTCTATCTCTTCTATTTGTCTGTCCTGCTTGCATGTCTTGATAGTTTCTTTCTCTCTCTCTCCTCTCTCCTCTCTCTCTCTCTCTCCTCTGCGTGCGTGCGTGCGTGCGTGCGTGCGTGGCGTTGTGTTGTGTCTTTCTGTATTCTGTTTATGTCTCTGTCTCTCTTCTCTCTCTCTCACACCTCTCTCCTTTTTCCTTTCTCTCCCCAATCTCCCCTTCCCATCTCTTCCCCTCCCTTCCCCACCTCTCGAATCGTCACTTCATCCACACCATCCTCTTATTTCCCCACTCCTCTTCTTTTCTATTTCCTCTTTCTCCCCTCCCCTTCTCTTTCTCCCCTCCTCCTCCTCTTCCCTTTCTTCCCCTCCTCCCTCTCCCACCCTTTTTTCTTTTCTATCTCCCTTCCCCTTCCTTTTGCAGAATACACACCACACAGGTTTTGCTCAAACTCGAAGACACGTTGTCATAGAGAGAGAGCCAGGCGACTTGTAAATTATTATATTGTTACTCGTATATGTGATTCTCAGAAAGGTGTTCGTGCGTGTGTGTGTTAGTGTGTGTGTGTGGGTGTGTGTGTGTGTTGTGTGTGTGTGTGTGTGTGTGTGTGGTGTGTGTGTGGTGTG